TGTAGAGTCTTCTTGGGCCAGAGATTGAACCCATGTCCGTTGCAGTGGCAGGCGAATTCCCAACCACTGTACCACCAGGGAAGTCCAATGGTTTCTTATTTTTTTAATTACCTGTTTCCCCTCTAGAATGCCATACCCTGGAAAAAAGAGACTTTTATCTGTTTTGATCATTGCTCATCACTTAGAACACTGCCTGGCACATAGTCGGCACTCAGTAAATGTATGTTGAATGAATGAATAGTTCTTCAACACAAAACATAAATGTTGAGAGAAAGGACTAGGGGAAGTTTCACAGGAGTGTCATTTAAGCTGAGCACTGAAAGACTGGTAGACTCTGGACATTTGGAAATGGGGGTGGCTTTCTAAGCAAAGGGAGCAATATGGATACAGAAGCATGTTGAGACAGCAGGGAGAATATGTGAAGGGAAAACAAGAGCCGACCCAACAGGTAGATTGGGAAACACTGAAGAAGATGAGGGGAGAACCAGGTAATTGGGGCTGTGCTTCAGGAAATATTAGTCTAGTGTTTGTTTAACATGAATGGATGGATGGAGAGTCCGGAGGTGCAGAAACCTGTTAGGAGACTTTTACGGTGGCCCTGAAAAGTGACCAGGTCTGGGTCATGGCAGTGGAAAGAGATACCTAGAAATATTTTAAAGGTAAAATCAATAAACTTTGCAACTTAGTCAGTGTTGGGAACAAAAGAAACATAGGAGCCAGAAATTACCCTAAAGTTAGAATATGAGTGTCCTGAAAAAGATAGAGAGAAAATCAAAAGAATCATTTGGGATGGAATAAAAATAGATTTATGTGAGAAATACAAATTTGATGTTTTATGGGGTAAGTCAACTGAAGTCATCCAACAGCAGGAAGTTGGAGATAGCAGGACTGTCGTCATGACTACAGATAGAGATTTATAGCTTATCTGTATGGCAGTGAGAGCTGAATCCCCAATAGGGACAGAAATGGATTCCACAGTAGTAATCCATTAGGAGTGGATTAAAAAAGAGAAGACCAACTTGGGGAATGTTTTGAAGGAGTCTGGAGGAAGAAGAGGAGCCTGCCTAGAGGCAAGCAGAGAAGAAGAACCCGTGTAGTCAGAGTCCTAGGAGAACAGCTTCAAGGAACCCATGCAAGTCAGCAGACTCAAGTACTGCCGGGGTTTAGGAAGGTGAGGCCAGAGGAAGAGGGTTCCATATGGTGACAAGGAAACCACTGGGAACCTTTAGAAAGTCTAGGTGGTAAGAGAAGCAGCTTCAAGTATGAGCTGGCTGGTGAGGCATGGGAGCAGAATTCTATTCTGCTTTTGAAACTATGGCAGTGAGGCAGGGGAAAAGAGACAGAGAAGTAGGAGACTTGAGCGGGTCCAGGGAGAGCGGCTTTGTTGTGGTTTGTTTTACTTAAGGATACGGGAGATCTGAGTACTGTGTGCACCAGACATGAAGCCAGTGGAGAGGGGGAAGAGATTGAAGATGCTGTCAGGGAGGTGGACTGAAAGGTCTTGTGGGTGGAGGAGTCAGCCTGGGAAGGGAGGGAGGCTACTTCTCCCCCAAGAGGAGAGGACGAGTGAGAGAGGAAAAGGTGAAAAGACTGAGCAGTGTTGCTGGGTGAAGGAGGACGTGGAGGAAGCTAAGCCTAGTGACCACGGCTTTGTGAAGGCTGGAAACCAGGCCATCAGCTGGGAATGCTGGCAACAGGGGAGCGGCGCTGGGCCTGAAGAAACACGGGAAAGGCTTGAAAGCACTGCAGAAGCATCCGTCAGGTCGGCGAAACAGGAATGAAGTTGCTGAGCAACAGTGAAGATAAGTAACTCCTCTACCTTATTTCCTGGTCAGGACAAGAACAGCGTGGGCAGAGCCTGAGGAGGACTGGTGTGGAGCTGGACAAGGCCAGCTGGTCAGTGTTGGTTTCAGTTTCAGTGTTGGCTCAACGTGGTCGGGTCATTTCCTGTGATGCAGGAATTGGTGTATGGACCTGGTTGTTGAAATCGGCAGTTATTAAGTATGAGATATAAAGAACTGCCAAAAATATTGCAGATTATTTAATGGAAGGCAGGCCATTAAAGGCAGGAAAGGTACGGTCTGCCTAACTGATGTTTTACAACAGCAGGATGACAGCTTCCTCTGACATCTTTCCCAGAATTTCCAGTGATGCTTGCTGCTGATCTGAGTGCCTATTTGCCTGTTCCCAAGTTGTTCCCAAGTTTTTGATTCAGTTTGAGGTGGGGTAGTGGAAATAGAACACTTAGCTTCTGGTCCAGCTGTCTCACTACTGTATGGCTTTAAATTAGTCTTTTGACCTCTTTGGCCTCAGTTTCTTTCTTTTGAAAAAAGTAAGAGGGAGATGAGCACAAAGGATTCTTCTAACTCCATCGTACATGACTCTTGTTATAAAAGTGTTTGTCCCACACCCAGTACTAAAGAAGCTAATGATCTCTAAATGTAAGTGCAGACTGTAGTATGGGGAGTCTCTCCTAATTTGTATTTAATTTGGAATTTTCATAAAAATTCCTGTTTCTCAGGGCTCCCCTGTGGTTCACTGATTAAGACTCCATGCTTCCACTGTAGGGGGTATGAATTCAATTCCTGGTCAGGGAGCTAGATCCCACAGGCCACATGGTGCAAACCAAAAAAAAGAAAAAAACTTTGAAAAAAGATATTTATGTCTCTTAGTACTGTTGCTGTGTCACGTTTTGACCCTACCTGGCTCCCCCCGGGCTCTATGCCCAAGTATAGGTGCATGTTCTTACACACACCCAAGGGGCTTCAAGGTCTTCCAGAGCACTGTGCTGCGGGATTGACACTCAACTGTGCTGGTCAGCGTGGTAGAGAGGGACCACTTAGGAGTCTCTTCTGACCCACTGATGCTTGATGCAAGATGCTTAACCTCTCTGAGCCCCGGGTTCAAGTTTAAAATGAAGAGTGCTTAGCAAGTATGGATAAATGCTTAATAAATGTTATTTTTCTTTCTTTCGTTCTGTCTCCATCTGCTGACTGCCACAAAGTACATAGGACTGGATTACCATACTTTAGAGTTAGTAGGGAGGTGTTTTCATCTCTGCAAATGAAAAATTCCCAGTAATGATATAGGTGGTGTGGCCAAATAAGTGACTTTGTTTTTTTTACTTCTGTGGTTTAATTACATGAGGAATAGAGACTTAGGTAACTGTATTTATGATCCGTTTCTTTTAAGTGCCCTAAGCTTCTATTGTTAATATAAAGCTTTAAATTTTTTAATGTCCCCCTCTTTTTTTTTTTTTTTTTTTTTTGCCAGTCAGCCCTCAATGAGCTTTATTTTCCTCAAAAACTCTTGTCTACATTTTTCTAGAGCTGCCTGAATGTTGAGATAAGGTTAGCTACCCATTAATTTGCTTCATTTTACTTTTAAGGCGGGTGGTGGCTGCTCCCCAGCCTTGGTGGTGGGACTGACAAGATCCATGCACTGCCTTGCTTCTGTTTTCCTTGCCACAGTCCAGGTGTTTCCAGGCCGTAAATCTTAGGGGAATGATCCTGGGAGGTACCCAGGGAAGTGCCCAGATGACCCTGGATGGTTAGTTTACAGGAGGACCTGGAGAGAAAGCCTGGTGTGGAATCAGCACAGGAGAGCCTCATTGACCTGGTACTGCCATGCAGGAAAGGGAAGGTGTACCTGGGCTTGTGGAGTTCTGGAGGGAGGATCCTGCTTCCCTCTTCTGTTTTCAGTCTGATCTCTGTCTTGCGCAGTCAGGCCTAAATCTTGCCTAAAGGAACACTATCTGTGATCACAAAGAAAATATTGACTCAGGGATGAGGCCGTGGGAGTGGAGCGCAGAATGGGGTTGGTTCCTAGGTCGTTTTGCTCTTTTGCTAATGCCAGTTTGGGAGGAGGCAGCTGAGACTTTTGGATGTCTTTATTCACTAGGCAGATGAAGAATCAGTTCAGTTCAGTCGCTCAGTCGTGTCTGACTCTTTGCGACCCCATGAATCGCAGCACGCCAGGCCTGCCTGTCCATTACCAGCTCCCGGAGTTTACCCAAACTCATGTCCATCGAGTCAGTGATGTCATCCAGCCATCTCATCCTCTGTCATCCCCTTCTCCTCCTGCCCCCAGTCCCTCCCAGCATCAGGGTCTTTTCCAATGAGTCAGCTCTTCGCAAGAGGTGGCCAAAGTATTGGAGCTTCAGCTTCAGCATCAGTCCTTCCAATGAACACCCAGGACTGATCTCCTTTAGGATGGACTGGTTGGATCTCCTTGCAGTCCAAGGGACTCTCAAGAGTCTTCTCCAACACCACAGTTCAAAAGCATCAATTCTTCGGCGCTCAGCTTTCTTTATAGTCCAACTCTCACATCCATACATGACCACTGGAAAAACCATAGCCTTGACTAGACAGACCTTTGTTGGCAAAGTAATGTCTCTACTTTTTTAATATGCTGATTAGGTTGGCCATAACTTTCCTTCCAAGGAGTAAGTGTCTTTTAATTTCATGGCTGCAATCACCATCTGCAGTGATTTTGGAGCCCCCCCCCCCCCAAATAAAGTGTGACACTGTTTCCAATAGTGTGAATAATAAACGTGTTTTCAACAAGCATGATTGGGGTGACTAGAAGGGGGGAGCCAGTTCTAGATTAGTGCCACTAGCCACTTTATCATGATGTTCAACTGGGCTCAAGTCTTGAGGCTTTCTTTCCATATTTTGGTACTTGCTTCACTTAGCAGCCTGCCCTAGGAGAAAGTGGTGGGTTCCGAGGTCTGAAAGAAGGGTGCTACAGCCAGAGCATTACAGGAGTGTTGAAGGCTGAGACATGAGGCTGGAATGGTCAGCAGGGACTACTTGGTCATGCAGTCTCATAAGCCAAGTTAACAAATGTGGGCTTTTCCCCAGAATTCGAGGGGAGAAGGAAAATTATTGCATTTAAAAGGATTTCTGTGTAAGGTAGAGAGTAGATGGGGTGTGGAGGGCAGGGGGCAAGACTAGAGAGAGAGATTCTGTGGGAGTCTTACAGTAACTGTGACGGGGAGGAATGACCACAGCCCCAACTGAAAAGAAGCAGCAGGTTGAAGAGAAAAAGGAAGTTTCAGAAAACATTAGGAAAGGCCTAAAAGTTGGAGGGTGGAGGTAGGGAGACTGGGACTGCATTAACTTCAATGCCCAGGTCTAGCTGGAGAACGGAGTGGTGGCTATGCAGTGATGCCAGCTTCCTAAGGCAGGGTTTCCAAGGGAGCTGACAGCTTAGTTCTGGAGTGTAGTAAATTTGAAGGATGTGGAGGAGGGCCCCAGTGGGCAGCTGTACATGCCAGCCTAAGGTTCAGAGAGGTGTCCTGGAGATAGAAATTGGCGTCATAAAGTAAACGAGGGTGCAGAGAACCAGGGAGGGTCTAGGACCGACCATTAAGGCACCTTAAGAAGCAGCAGAGGAGGTGAAACTGGGAAAGGAGACTTAAGAAGGCGAGCCAGAAGGACCAGAGGAAGCCCTGAGGTTATGACGCTGAACCTGAAAAGTGAGTGCTTCAGGAAGAAGGAAGAGGTTACTGCAGGGCATGCTAGTGCTACTGAGAGATCATGTGTGGTAAGAACTGAAATGTCTTTGTGGATCTAATGCCCATCAGCAGTGTTGGGGTGACCCTTTAGTACACCAGGCCTGTGCTGAGCACTGATAAAGCAGAGACAAAACAGAGAAAATGGAAAGAACATGACACTGGGCATTTCATTTAATATAGCAAAGTCATCTTGGGAAAAATTGTAAGTATTGTTAAACTTCCTCATACTCATTTTTTATGTTGAATTAAATAGGGAGCACCCTAATCTTTTTTATTCTATGGCTGTCTGAAGGTCTTTTTTTTTTTTTTATGTTTAGCCTTATTTGTTTAAATAGGTTCATTTAAACATTAAATAGGTTCACATTAAAATGGTTCAGAATTCAAAAGTACAAAAGGTTACTAAGTAAAAACATCTGCTACTTCATTCCTCTCATGTACAGCCTTGTATTTATGTGAAAATTTCCTCCCTTTTCCTGCACAAATGTTTACCATTCCTCTCACTGTTTTTCTGCTTGATTTACTCATTTTGCAGTATATCTCAGAGATCACTCCCTATCATTGCACAGATAGCCAACCTATCCTTTTTCATAGCTGCACACTATTTCATTATAGAGATGTATTAATTTATTTAACTGGTCCCCTGCTGATGGAAATTTAGGTTTTCTAATATTTTACTACCTAAAATTTTGTTGCCACAAACCGTGCTGTAGGGAGTTACCTTGTATGAGTCTCGTTTCTTAAGTATAGGATAAATTCCCAGAAGTGGAAATTGCTGGACTGAAGAGCCTCTAAAGGTTTTAATCCAACCTTGCTTATTGGATTAGAAAACCTGCAGTGAATGGTGGCTATTATTAAGATAAATATGATATAGGTAGGTTATATTAGAGAAAAATAGGGGCATCTGACACAGACCAGAAGCAAGGTGGGTGGTGGGAGCTTTCTGGAGGAGGAAATGCCTGAGCAGAGCCTTGAGGAATGAAAAGTCAGGTGAAGTGGAGGCATTACAAGCAGCAGGAGCAGAAGGGGCCAAGCCCAAGAACTTAAAAAGGAGCTTGTTGTTTGTGGGGAATCTTCCAGGAGTTTAGTGTTGCCTCCATTCATCAAACAGTCCACTCCCTGCCACAGGTCAGGCACTGGGCTCTATCCTACATCAGATAGGTAGTACATCCAGAAATCACAATATAACTGCAGTATGAATTAAGAAACAGTAGGCTGCGGGCTTCCCAGGTGGCTCAATGGTGAAGAATCCGCCTGCCAGTGCAGGAGATGCAGGTTCAATCCCTACATGGGGAAGATCTCCTGGAGAAGGAAATGGGAACCCACTCCAGTATTCTTGCCTGGAAAATCCCATGGACAGAGGAGCCTGCTGGGCTATACAGTCCATGGGATCACAAAAAGAGTCCAGTTGGACTTAGCGACTGAAACAACAGCAGGAATATATACAGTGATTAATTCTGTCAGAGAAAGAAGGAAGGGGGCATGGAAGGTGGAAGCAAAGGCATTAGAGGAGGCACATCTGAACTAAAATTCAAAAAAACTGTAACAGGTGGACTTCAGTGATTCTCAAAGTGTATTTCCTGGACCAGCAGCATCAGTATCACCCAGCAACTTCTCAGGCCCTACCCAGATCTGCAGAATCAAAATTCTGGGAGTTGGCCTCAGCAACTTGGGTCGTAAAAAGCCCTCTGAAGTGATAGTCAGTTGTGTCCAACTCTTTGTGACCCCATGGACTGTAGCCCACCAGACTCTTCTGTCCATGGAATTCTCCAGGCAAGAATACTGGAATGGGTTGCCATGCCCTCCTCCAGGGGATCTTCCTAACCCAGGGATTGAACCTGGGTCTCCCACACTGCAAGAAGCCCTCTAGGTGATCCCAGTATACTCTGCAGTCTGAGAAGCACTGATGGCGCTCATTGAAGGTGAGGGAACAGTACTGTAGAGTCAGAGAACTAAACTCTGTAGTATTGCTGAAGTGTCGCTTGTGTTTTTACAGAAATAAAAGTTATATAATGAAGTCGCTTAGTCATGTCCGACTCTTTGCAACCCCATGGACTGTAGCCTACCAGGCTCCTCAGTCCATGGAATTTTCCAGGCAAGAGTACTGGAGTGGGTTGCTATTTCCTTCTCCAGGGGATCTTCGCAACCCAGGGATCAAACCTGGGTCTCCTGCATTGTAGGCAGAAGCTTTACCATCTGAGCCACCAGGGAAGCCCCATTATATATATATAAAAGTTATATAAAAGTAGTTATTTTATATGCCAAAGAAATAAGATAAGCTAATAAAACTTGCATTACAGTATCAGTCTAAATCACTTATCTTGAAGTGTCAATAAAATGGACATAAGTCCTGTATCCCTTGTTATGTGAGAAAGCCAGCACCCTTCACCAGGTTTTCATTATTGTCCCTACTTCCAGACCTTTCTTTGATTTTTTCCTCACAGTTAAGGATCTTATGAGTAGAGCAGGCTTTACTGAAGGTATGGAAGACAAAGGGACAATACCTTACAATTAAGAACCATAACTTAAATTGGATTTTGTATTGCCCCCTTTTTTTAAAATTATTTATTTGGCTGCATGCAGGATCTAGTGAAGTTATTCAGTCGTGTCCGATTCTTTGAGACCCCGTGGACTGTAGCCTACCAGGCTCCTCTGTCCATGGGATTTTCCAAGCAAGAATACTGGAGTGGGTTGCCATTTCCTTCTCCAGGAGCCCTTTTCTTAAGAGGCATTTGGTCCACCCCCAGGGCCTCCCTGCTTCAGACATGCAGCGTGATACTGTCTTGTGGGTTGCTCTGTCCTGAATGATGCAGCTCCTACCCATTCCTGGACTCTGTCCCTTCCCCTCCGTAACCCCTATTTTCTCTTCTCCCCTGCCTCCAAATTTCCATTAATTTCCTTTGCTAGGCAATTGATAGATCTCTCCTTTTCTAATCTTCATCTTCAGGGTTTACCTTCCACCTTTAAGGAGCTTATCAGAATATTTTCCCAAACAGAGGTAAACCTAGTCTCTGGGAAGCATTCTGGAGCCAACTTTAAAATAGTAATTTTCCACTGTGCTATTATTATTATATTATAAAATTTTAGGTTCACTTTAGGGGTCATTAGGTCAATTACCTTGCTTCAAGTGGCATTATATTAAACTCTAGCCAATAATTCTTAATCTAGTCCTTATTTCTGTTTTACAAAACTGACACTATAAAGTAGAAAAGACACATTTTTTAGGGCATGGCAACCCACTCCAGTATTCTTGCCTTGAGAATCCCCATGGACAGAGAAACCTGGAGTGCTACAGTCCATGGGATCACAGAGAGTTGGACAGGACTGAGTGACTAAGCACAACACATACATTTTATTTTTTTATTTTTATTTTTAATTGGAGGATAACATGCATTAACTCCATTTAAAAAAATCTTCAAAGGTCAAGTTCCTCACAAACTGTTCTTATTACAAAAATTGCTGTTGGGTGCCTAAATATTGTATCAAAAGATGACTACATTAGTAAATTACAGAACAAAGACTGCATAATTACTGGGGAAATGCCAATAATTTAATGTTCAGTAGAGAAAAATATTTCAAAATCTAAAATGTAAGAATTGTGTATGTGTGTAGAAAAAAAACAAAAGTGAGGAGAGCTAGGAAGAAAATGTGACTTATTGAATTGGCAGACTTGTGGCAGAATTTTTTTAAAATTTGATTTCTGTTAACGTCATTGTGTTAGTATAATTACGAAGCTCAGAGGAGAGTCCCAAACTTCCCTTCCCGCAATATAAACCAGTGACTGTGTTTATACTGCCGAGGTCGTCGTCTGACCTGCAGCTTACATTTGCCCCACTGCCAGTTAAGTCTGTCCTCTGTTCTCCGTGGAGAGGAGCCAGGTGCCGGAGTGCTGGGAAGAGGCACAGCTGAGCTGCTGGCTCTGACGGCCCGGGTCCTCCCTGGCCCCGCTCAGGTACAGCGGAGACTAAGTAAACGTCCGGGCTGGGGAGAAAACGCAGGGGACGGGGAGACGCTTCTGTACAAGTAGGTTCAGAAATAGCGTTTTTCCGCCTTAGAGCCTGTCTTGCAAATTGATATACTTTTCCGGTCTCCTGATTTATAAGCATCTCTTTTCCTTTAAATTGCTTTTAGTAGCTTTTCCTTTAGGGAAAGTATTTCACATCATTATACTGGAAAGCTACTACAGCCCCATGTGAAGACAGATACCTGGGGATTTTGTTTAGCCTTAAAAAAAAAGAAAAAAAGGGCTTGAAAATCTGATTTCTAAGTGTTGTCAGTTCTTTTTCCAATGATTACTTAGACCTTTGAGGGAAGTCTTTGTGACCTTTTAGCAGCTCAGGGAGTTCCTGACTTCACAGCTGCTGCTAAGAAGTCAGATTCATGCTGAGCAGTTTTAGTAAAATGTTAGTTATAAATGAGAAAGAGAGGGGTTCTTTTCACAGTTAGGATAAACTATCTCTAATAGTTCGCACCTTTTTTTCGTGTTTGCTTTCTTTGGTTTTGTTTGAACACTGAAGATGGATGCTTGAGGTGATAAGTAATATTGAGAGGGAAGGAGGAAGAGGAAGGCAAGATAGAAACTTCATAGCTGCTGTAAGTTCAGGCTTCATTTGTGGACCTCAGAAAACACAAGGAGAACACATTCTCCCCCCCACCCCCACCCAATTATTTTTATTAGTTGGAGGTTGAGAACACGTTCTTATTCCTCAGTGTTCTGTACTTAAATTGTAGTCTTTTAAAATTGAGATATAATTCATGTACCATAAAAGTTACCCTTTTAAGGTATACAATTCAGAGGTTTTCAGAGTATTCACTTTTTTTTTTAAATTTTTATTTTAACAATGTGTTTTTATTTAATGAACACAGTATTTGCCATTTGACAGCCATACACTCTGCAGGTTTACCATTCACTTTACAACAAAATTATCAATAGATAAAGGATATTTCTTCATGCACGTTGTAGGAGTATATACATTGAATAACAAACACTCCAGAAGTCAACATATATGTACATTATTTACATATTAACTATTTACTGTAAATAGAAATGTTTTCTAAGAAAAAATAAAACAAGAAATCACAATGTGTGGTTTCTGATCTACAACAGACCTAACTTGTCAGCAAAGCACATCTATGTAGATATATGCATTTTAGCTTGAAAAATATGCATTGCTTTATATGCAGCGTTAAATGCTGCTTCATCTA